GCCTCGGCCTCCCAAAGTGCTAGGATTACAGGCGTGAGCCACCACGCCCGGCTGTATTCAATTTTTGATAACTCCAGAAGATGACACAGTGTTACTTTATTGGATTTATATAGTGCTCTAAGCAAGAAATGTGTCTTCAAAAACTGTTTGAAAATCAATTTTCTTCCTTCATAAATCCTATCATACATGAGCTGGGAGAAGGCTTGGTAATTAATGGAATTTTATTATAAAATGAACAATCACGCCCAGAGTTAGGTTTTACAAAAATGCAGTTGTCCCTGCTGTGTTTGCCCTGGCTGAGACACACCAGGGTCACTGAACCTTTGGGCATGGAATAAGAACCACCCCTGTGCCATTTCCTGATGCCCCAGAAAGCTTTCTAGCTGGAAATGAGGTATGGTCGTGGATAGGTACAGTTAAACTCACTCTTCCTGTTGGTGTCTTGCGTTAGTTACATTTTGTAATTCTATAATAACTAAAAAATATATGTGACAGGTAGCATTTTATTTTCACTTAAAAAATGGTCACCATTCCCTTCAATAGTACATAGCTTGTACACACAATTTGTCCTTTACCCATTTCAGAAGGGATAAGTACTTCATAGGATTTTGCTAGTTCTTTAGAATTTAGGCTGTTTTTTTTCCTTCAGTCTTTCTAGTTTGCTCAACTACACATCTTGGCTACTTGATTTTCATATGAATAGACATGTTTGGCTTCCCAGGGGGAAGTTGTTCGCTGGTGAACAAAGGAAAGAGTAAAAGGAAGAAGGAAGTTATTTTCTGAAGTTGAGCCCTACAAAAGTATTAGAAAAACAATTTTACAATGTGTAATAACCAGGTAACTAGCTTTTTCATTAGAAAAAAAATGTAATGACCTTAACATAAGCTAGAGTACCAAGAATATGATATTAAACGATGTATTTGCTTTTCTAAGGGATATTTACAATTTAAACCCAGCTTTCCGGCAAGGTTAAAGATTCATTTACTTTTTATATATAATACAGAAAAGGAAAATAAATAGTACCCTCATAGTAAAGGACTCATCTCTGAAAACACATTTTCTGATGCTTTAGGAAATAAATTGAGAATATAATACAGAATTGAATTCAGCTTCAAGTTGTGCTTGCATATATATTTTCTGAAGCTTTGCCACCAGCTTGGAAACAGAAAATATGACCTATCAAATCCACATCCATCCTGTGCTTATCTCATGCCCCTAAGGGATTGGTCAAGTATATTTTTGAGTCAGAATTTCCAAAACATACATTTCTCCCTGATTTTAGGTTAGGACCCTTTTGAAACCATGGTAATTTATTCAGGCTACAACATATTATTAATACAAGCAGTCATTTACCAACTTTTAAATTGAACCATGTGAAAGTGCCTATCTCCATTGAACCCACCACTTTAACCTAAAAAATGATCATTTCATATGGTTCAACTTGCTGCCTCCTGGAACCTGGAACCAAGAGGGAGTAGTTTGAACCTTGGGAGAATGAGTCAAGGCACCACTGTTGAGATCACATCGCGTTCCCGGGTGGTGACCTTCCCTCTTGCCTTTAAGGTAATCATGAGTAGGGGCAAAAGTGTCACCCAGAGATGGGTGAGAGTGGATCTTTTTTTTTTTTTTTTTTCTGTCTCCAAACTAGCTTTGTCATTTTCAAAATTGCTGTAAACATTCCTCTCAATGGAACACCCTCTGCCCAACAAATAGAGTTCTCACTCTTGAAAGAAACTACACCAGGGTTAGGAGTTCAAATATGGCGTGCTGTGGACACTACCATCAGGCAACCGTGGCTTCCTAGGTGAGTGGAATCTCTGCCATTAACTCTTTTCTGCTCCCCAGATTGTCCTGAGAATTTGGCTAGGACAGAAGGCTATTACTGGCTATTCTAACTAGGCCTGAGAAACTGAATATAAAATTCCATTTCGGTTATTATAATCGAAAATCTTTCTGTTGCTTAGTTTTTTGGTCAAGCATCTTGGCAGGGATAGAAGTTTCATTGGCTGTGTTAACGTTTATGTTGAGAGCTGTTGAGAACCTTTTGGTGTAAAAGTCTCTCCTTTTATGGGTATTTATACAATTTGATTTCAAAAATGGGAGAAAATAGAATGTGGTTGCATAGTATGATTAAGTTTGGTTTCATTTGATATCTGCAACCACATTAAAGGATGTTGTAATTTACTTAGAGTTCTTTCATCTGGGGAGTAAAAATAAAACAAAGTTACATAATAGTACTTTTAGAACAGCACAGTGGTATCAAAAAAAAAAAAAATCAAACCTTTGACATGATATTAAGAAAAGCAGAGGATCACTTTTCTAGTGTCAGTCCAAGAAAGCCTGAAGTAAAGACCTAACGAGCCACATTTAAAATTTAACCACTTTACAAATATCCACACACAGAGTAAATAACTCTCTATCTCGCACAGCCTTCGATTGCACCCTTGTTGCAATACTGCATTAATATTATTACATTTTTTTTTCAAAATCTGTATAAAATATTATCTGGAACCCCAAAGGAAAATCAATTAATCTTTAAAAAGTCCATTACAAAGTTGACTGTATAAAATGCTAAAACATAATCCATATATACAAAATGCTGTTGTTTAAGAAAATAATGGGACCCAGTTTTAGAATAAAATAATTTTATACAAAAAAAGGGTATTGCATTCAAAACAATATTTTAAAAAAAAACAACTTTAAAAAAGAATATTGAAATGTCTTAGTTCGGAAGAGTAACTATAAAGCGTTGGTTTGTTTGCTTTTATACCCTCTGCACGTTTCTTGCAGGTAAAACACGGATGGGCCTCGGGCAAGTGTCCTGCTTCTCCCAGCGAAGGGCTTTGTCACCAAGACGGTCGGTCATCGCCGAGACACGTACTTGGAGGCCCAGTCTGTCCGGCCGTGCACTGGCTGGGCGGCTGGAGGCCGTGGTATCAACCCAGGAGTGCTTCTAGGCTGAGTGTGGAAGAAAGGTCGCCCAGGATGAGGTCTCATGGCCTTCAGGGAAGAATAACCTGCAGTGACAGAAGAAGGCTGGCCTAAGTGACGTGGGTCACACACGAACAAAGTACAAATAAATGTGTGCTGGTAAAAAAAACATCATAAAATGAGTCTTCCCAAGACTCATTGGGCTTGTCCCCAGGTAAGGACAACCCCATTTATAGTCGTCAGGCCAAAAATATCAGTATCATTCTTGACTCCTCTCTCTTTTTCATGTCCCACTTACAGTTTGTCAGCACCTCCTGTTGGCCCTATCTTCCACATGTACTGGCAACTTATTACCAACTCAACTCTTACCACCCTGGGCCTGGGCTACCCTCACTGGTTGCCTGGATAATTGCGACAGCCCCCTAATTGGTTTCCCTGCTTCCTACCTTGCTCCTACTTCAGTGTCACGACAACCAGCAGCTTAAGGGAACCTGTGAAGATGGCTCTCAGATCACTACACTTCCCTACTCAAAACCCTCCAGGGGCTGCCACGGTGCTCAGAGTCAATGACAACATGTTTCCAGTGGCAAGTCCTCATGTCATCAGACCTCTTGTCACCCCTGACCTCTTCTTGCTGTGCCCCCTCATGCCACTACTGTCCTGTGGCCTCCTTGCTACTCCTTGAATTTGCCATGCTTGTTCTGCCTCAAAGCCCGTGCACACAAGAATCCCATGTCTGGAATAGTGTCACTCATATTGCATGCCTGCTCAGTGACATCCTTCGGGGCTTTACTCAAGAATGCTTTTGCGGCCAGGCGCGGTGGCTCACGCCTGTAATCCTAGCTCTCTGGGAGGCCGAGGCAGGCGGATTGCTCAAGGTCAGGAGTTCGAAACCAGCCTGAGCAAAAGCAAGACCCCGTCTCTACTATAAATAGAAAGAAATTAAATTGGCCAACTAATATATACAAAAAATTAGCCGGGCATGGTGGCGAATGCCTGTAGTCCCAGCTACTTGGGAGGCTGAAGCAGGAGGACCCCTTGAGCCCAGGAGTTTGAGGTTGCTGTGAGCTAGGCTGATACCACGGCACTCACTCTAGCCTGGGCAACAAAGCGAGACTCTGTCTCAAAAAAAAAAAAAAAGAATGCTTTTGCGGTGAGCTCCTCTGGCTACCCTATCTGAAACTGATCTGCACCCCATGCTCCAGCCCTACTTCCTGCCCACTTAATTTTTCTCCTTAGCGCTATCAGTAAGCATCTGACTTACTATACGCTATATCGTACTTATTTGGTTCATTTATTTTCTGCAGAGTACAAATTCCCTGAGGGTAGGGAGTTCCGTCTCATTCCCTGGTGGACCCCAGGCCTACAACATGCCTGGCACACAGCGGCTGTGTGTTCAATCACTATTTGTTGAATCAATTCATGAAGAATCTGAAGTAGAACTTACCAGGGGAAGGATTTGGAATAGGTGCCAGGTGTACCCTCTGCACAGCAGAACCCATTTCTTTTTTCAGAAAGGAAGGGAAATAGTTTCCAGTCAGCCCACTGGAACTTGTAGAGCCGGAACCAACTGATTTGCAAAAGGAAAAGCTCATTACTATAAAGATATGGTACACGGGACACCAACAGTGTTAAAGGATAGCAATGCAGAGCAATAAAGAATTAAGTTTTTATGTTTTGGGGGGGGGGAAGAATTATGATGAAAACAGTGAATTCTGAGCAGAGCATTCCACCACGCCACACATCAGAGAGACCAGGAAGGGCAAACACAGTACTGCTCCTCTAGACAGCAATCAAACAGAAGGTTGTTTATTTGTTAATGTAAAAAAAAAAAAAAAGGGAAATTTGAAATTTTTCTTTATTTTTTGTAAAAGTAGCTTTAGCCTGTTCTGACATTTGCTTTTTTCACTCCATAATATAGAATAGTTATCCTACCATGTCAGTCAGTATATGCAAATTCTAGAGTATAGCTAAACCACAATTCATTCAACCATTTCTTACTGATCAATGCACAAGTTATCTTAAATTATTTAGCTATTCCAAATGATTATACATTAAACATTCTTATCCATAATAATCAGAAAAGTCTAACCATTATTTTATTTTTTATTTTATTTTTTTTTAGTGGAGAAATGGCTTCTGGATCTAACCATTATTTTAAAATATTAAATATATTCACTCTTTATGTCATTTCCGTTAGAGAGTGCTTTACGGGCAGGGACTGTATGCTACTCATCCTTGCATTCATGGACATTAATGGAATGCCTTGCGTATAGTGGACAATCAATTAATATTGGAGGAGTGAATGAGCACCTATGATGCTTCTAGGTACACATGGATAATGGAGAATGCTATTATTGTCCATTATACAAATAGACGTTCTACCATTAGGAAAAGGTGGTTAAGTGATAGAGTCACACTCTCGTCACACCACATAGCATTCTCCGCAGCTGCTGCAGGCAGAGTGGGAAACATGGTCTGTAATTCACGTGTGAGGAGTTGTGTTTGTCAGCTGGGGTGCATTTTGTACTTTAGTGAATGAAGAAATATGGGGAAAGAATTTAAACGAGTAAGTCACAAAAGGGAAAAAGGTATAGTCAACAAACGCAAGAAAAGATGATGAACCTCATTAGTAAACAGGACATGCAAGTTTAAATCACAGTAAGATACCATTTCGCACACATCAGATTAGCATAAATTTTAGTCTTGACAGTACCAAGTGGCATCAAGGATGTAGTACAACTCCCACACCCTGCTGGAGAGCAATTTGGCAATATCTGTAAAGTTGAAGATGGCACACCCTTTAACCCAAAACGTTTACTCCTAGTTAATACACTCAGAGAAACCCTTATCCATGTGCACAAGAGTGTACGTAAAATAATGCTCATTTCAGCACCCTTTCTAATAGCAAAAGTTGCAAACGACTTATGTGTTTGTCAAGAAGAGAAGGAATAAATAAATTATGGTCTAGTATAAATAATAAATTATAGTATTATATATGTTATATAATATATAATATGATATATATGTATACTTGCTACACATATACTTATTACAATGAATGAATTGGCAATCTAGGATTATGTTCGATTAACCACCCTATGAATTTCATACACATTTTTAAAAAGTGCACACTGGAGCTGGAGGCCATTATCCTAAGTGAAGCATCTCAGGAATGGAAAAACCACCACCACATGTTCTCACCAATAATTGGCAGCTAACTGATGGGCACAAAGAAATGTAAAGGTCATTGGAAATCAAGAAGGGGAGGGGCAAAAACTTATCAATCTGGTACAATGAACACTAAATACTATTCAGGTGTTGGGCACACTAAAATCCTGACTTAAGCTTTATGAAAAGTATCCATGTAACAAAAACATTTGTACCCCCTTAATATTTTGAAATTAAAAACATAATCCTAGCACTCTGGGAGGCTGAGGCGGGTGGATCGCTCAAGGTCAGGAGTTCGAAACCAGCCTGAGCAAGAGTGAGACCCTGTCTCTACCATAAATAGAAAGAAACTAATTGGCCAACTAAAAATGTATAGAAAAAATTAACTGGGCATGGTGGCGCATGCCTGTGGTCCCAGCTACTTGGGAGGCTGAGGCAGGAGGATCACTTGAGCCCAGGAGTTTGAGGTTGCTGTGAGCTAGGCTGATGCCACGGCACTCACTCTAGCCTGGGCAACAGAGTGAGACTCTGTCTCAAAAAAAAAAAAAAAAAAGTGCATGGGAATGTGATCAACACTCAAATCATACTTAGGTGGAGGGTTGGGGAGAGGAAGAGAGAGAGGGAAAGGCCTAGACACTGGGCTTCATGAATATTTGCAAAGTTCGATGTCATATGCTGGGTAGCCAGTACATGGGTGTTAATATATTATTGCTTTCTTTTTTGTTTTCCTTAAAATAAACAAACACCTAATGGATGAAGGCAGAAAGAAGTAGAGCCCAGCTGTGCACCCAGCAATATGGAAAGAGACACAGCACACAGCAGGTGCTGCCTGTGTGGGTGACAATGATGGGGAACAAGGCAGACGCAGCCGAGGCTGACACCCACAGCAGCCAGGGCCTCAGACATCAGGCGTGCTAGGAGTCTGCAAAGTTATTTTTGTTTTTCCCCTGAGCCAGGGATGACTATACTCTCCAGCCACTCTTGAGGGCAGACCCCCATGGGAGCTGGCTGTCCCCAGGGCCTGCTGCCAGCAGAGAGGAGGGCAGGGCTGGAACAGACGCCTGGACTTTCACACCACAAAGGCCCATGGTGCCACGGCTCATCCCCTGACTCTCTGTACCCACCTCGCCCCGTCCAGAGGATTTGCTTTTTGTCTGTCAGGAGCTAATAGTCATAACTCACCTGAATTTATTTTGCTGATTACTGACACTGTCCCTGAAGATTTTCCAGACAAACCAGAACTGGACCATGGATTAGGTGGAGTAAAGTCCTTGCTCGAATTCGAGAGTATTCCATTTCTTATATTTATTCCTAATAGAGAAGAAATGATTTTAAAATGCAAAATACATATTTAATCTTGCACCAGACTAGAAATGAATGCAGAGCCCAATGTGTCAAAAACTGTGGTGCAATAACCAAAGCAAAAACTGACTGTGGGCCGGGCGCGGTGGCTCACGCCTGTAATCCTAGCACTCTGGGAGGCCGAGGCGGGCGGATTGCTCGAGGTCAGTAGTTCGGAACCAGCCTGCACAAGAGCAAGACCCCCGTCTCTACTATAAATAGAAAGAAATTAATTGGCCAACTAATATATATAGAAAAAATTAGCCAGGCATGGTGGCGCATGCCTGTAGTCCCAGCTACTCAGAAGGCTGAGGCAGGAGGATTGCTTGAGCCCAGGAGTTTGAGGTTGCTGTGAGCTAGGCTGATGCCACGGCACTCTAGATGGGGCAACAGAGTGAGACTCTATCTGAAAAAACAAAACAAAACAAAACAAAACAAAAAAACAGACTGTGATGATGTCAACTGGCAGATGGCAGAGGAAAGATGCTGTCTCACTCGTGGGTGCCCGAGAGAGGCCTCCAACGCTTCTACAATCAGATCTGTCCCAGGTCTTGACCCTCTGGTGCTGCCCTGGGCTTCAGTGCTCCTGAATGTTCTGATCTTCCCCCTTCACAAACCACCTTTTCCTTTGGTCACCCTAACAGCTTCTTCCCCACCCTTCCCCTAGCCCTGCAGCCTTCTGCTCCCTGCCTGTGCCTTCTGTCCCCTGAGGCTCCATCTTCTCCCCTGACCTGGACCATCACTGCCACCATGTGCTGATGACGCTGGTGTAACCAGCAGCCCTCACTGACCCTGCACCCTCACATCCAAAGCTTCCCAGACCACGGCCTTGACCTCCACCACCTTGACCTCCAGACAGACCACTTTCCCTCTAGTCTGCTTGTGTTCCCACAGGCACTGCAACTATTTTTTGGAACTGAAAGTTTGAATTACTCTTTTATCCTTCTTTCCCTAGAGACAAAAAGAAATAACTCTGATCTACTCGCTGCTCCTTACTGCCTGGGGTCGCTGTAGTTTGCGTCCTCTCTCCTCTCACACCTGGATCACTCTATGCCTGTCATCCACTCCCTCTTCTTCCAGGTCATCCTGGGAATTGTCAAGCCACTCTTCTAAGACCACGATGTCAATCCTGATGGAGACTGACAGCGTTCAGAAGCCCTATTCTCAACCAGAGGGCGAGGAATTTCATGCAGCGGGAGGGCCTGACATTCCGAGGCCACTCCCTCCCTTCTGACCACACGCCCGGCCCTGCCACCACTCTTGTCACCTGGACCACAGCTACAGTCTGCTGGGCCCTCACCTACCCTGCACACAGATGTAGATAAAACCACATCACTCCTCCAGTTAAAACCCTTCCTGGGCCGGGCGCGGTGGCTCACGCCTGTAATCCTAGCACTCTGGGAAGCTGAGGCGGGCAGATCGCTCAAGGTCAGGAGTTCGAAACCAGCCTGAGCAAGAGCGAGACCCCGTCTCTACTATAAATAGAAAGAAATTAAGTGGCCAACTAATATACATAGAAAAAATTAGCCGGGCATGGTGGCGCATGCCTGTAGTCCCAGCTACTCGGGAGGCTGAGGCAGGAGGATTGCTTAAGCCCAGGAGTTTGAGGTTGCTGTGAGCTAGCTAGGCTGATGCCATGGCACTTACTTTAGTCTGGGCAACAAAGCGAGACTCTGTCTCAAAAATAAATAAAAAAAAAAAATATATATATATATATATATAAATAAAACCCTCGTGAACTTCTCACTGCTCATGAAATAAAATCCAAATTTCTTAAAAGCTCCCCAAAGCTGCCTCGTACTACATACTACATCACCTCTTCTCTTACTGCGTTACTATGCTCTGGCCACACTGGCCTCTGCTCCTCTCATAGTCTAAGCCCCTTCCTGCCTCTGGGCCTTTGCACGTGCTGTTTCCTCCACCTGCTGTGCTTTTCCCTCAGTTCTCTGCACACTTGGCTCCTCCTCATTCTCTGGGGCCCAGCTGAGTTGCTTCCTCAGAAAGGCTTTTCCCGACGACCCTACCACCATCTGTGATGACTGTTGATTTATTTGTCAAAGTCTCTCTCCCAGCACTGGCTATCAGCTGCGTGGGGCGAGGAAGGTGCCTGCAGGGCCGCTGTAGTAAGCCACCGTGTAGCCTACAACGTGAAGGAGCTCTCTGGAGCCGTGCAACCCAGTGGCCCTGCTTGGTACTTTTGTTTGCCATAGAATTCACAGTGGTTTGCACACAGTAGATGCTTAAATACATATTTATTGACAAATGAATTTGCGAATGATTGATTGGCGAATGCCATAAGCTTGCAATATGGAGAATACAGAGAAACTATAGTGCTGACACTTAGTACTACCCAGCAGGTGTGACTAAGCTCCTACCCGGCTTTCCTGGCTGGCAACTGCTCCTAACCCTGGACTGGCAGAGGGGTGCCAGACACACTGCCTCACTCTTACCCCTTCCTCCCTCCCTAGCGGCTGGATCCAGTATCTTATACCAAATTTCTTTCTTTCTTTTTTTTTCTTCTTTGAGATAGAGTCTCATTCTGTTGCCTGGGCTAGAGTGCAGTGGTGTCAGCCTAGCTCACAGCAACCTCAAACTCCTGGGCTCAAGCGATCCTCCTGCCTCAGCCTCCCAAACAGCTGGGACTGCAGGCATGCGCCACCATGCTCAGCTAATTTTTTGTATATTTTTTAGTTGGCCAATTAATTTCTTTCTTTTTTTAAGAGACGGGGTCTCACTCTTGCTCAGGCTGGTTTCCAACTCCTGACCTTCAGCGATCCATCCGCCTCAGCCTCCCAGAGTGCTAGGATTACAGGCGTGAGCCACCATACCTGTCCCTTGGATCCAGTTTCTTATACCAAATTTCTTATCTTAGGGTACTACGAAAGATAAAAATGTAAGGCCTGGGCTTCAGCAAATATTTCTATGACATTCCCACCACTTCTGCAGAAAAGCCCCCAAGGACTTGCCTTCTCAAACAGAATCTTTGTGGATGTGTGATTCTGAGGACAAGATTTCTCACCAACGATCAATATAAAGGCAAGCTGGGGACATTACCAGGCAAGTATCGGGAGTGCTTCAAGTAGTGCTGCTTGGCTGCGGATCTCAGGGTGGGCGTGTCCCGCCGCTGATGGGACGTCTGGGTGGGGGCGCTATTTCCCGTGCCCACCGGCTCAGAGGGCTTCAGGTCCAAAACGCTCTCAAATCTGAATGGAGAGAACGTGGCTCAGGTCAGCACGAGGGGGACAGGGCACCATCAGATAGGTACAGACGAGCCCACGAGTCCCACGTGCAGTCTGTTTACAGATACAAGCAGCGCACTTGCCTGCAGAGAGTGTCGTCACTCTGTCTCTTCTTGTTTTTCAGGTCAATCCTGGTGAGGGATGGACTGAAATCGAAGTCCTCCAGGTCAGCCCAGTCTTCAGAATCCTTTGATGACCTGGAAATTAGACCCCACCTTCTCCTGCTCTTTGGCTTGATCTCACCATTTTTGTGCTCTAGGCCAGCGAGAATCTTCTGCGTGTATAAGCAGAGGGGAGGAAAAAGCAGGACTTGCCATTAATACAGCTCATCCATGAGTCACCCCCACTCTGAACTTCTCGTTATGGGAAGGAGGATTCTGCAGCACAGCATTGCCCCCAAATGCCCTGCTTATCTGGAAAGGCAATCGTGGAAGACAGATTCCCAGACCTTGGATCTCGTCTATCCTGCACACGTTTACTTTGATTGTCACCCAATCAGGACACTAAGTTGTATAAAATAAGGATTTAAAAAAAAAGAAATTCAAGATCCTTCTCACATACTAGGAGGATGGCTGGATTCTCATTCAGGCCTCACCCCTTAACGAGTTAACATGATTTCCACTGTTATAGAGATGTAGGAAATCCTGGCTCAGATGTCAGCCAGCCTGCTCTTTTACAGAAAACAATGCAAAAAATGCCCTCTTTGCCTTCTTAGTAGGCCTGGATACTATCTTATAACTAGAGAATTAGCTACAGCAGAAAACTCGCAAACGCATTACCACTTCCGAATCACGGGCTAAAGTGAACAGGCTAGCGATGCCATCCTTGCACCCTCTGGCCATCTCACGCCATGCTAGTTGGGAGCCAGTACTCAGCTAATGTGAGCTGACAGAAAAAGTACTACTTTTGCATAAAGGTGTTAGAAAGTCAGACTCTTCAGACAGCATTACAAAGCTAGGCCGAGCGCGGTGACTTACATCTGTATTCCTAGCACTCTGGGAGGCCGAGGTGGGCAGATTGCTCGAGGTCAGGAGTTCGAAACCAGCTCTGAGCAAGAGCAAGACCCCGTCTCTACTATAAATAGAAAGAAATTAATTGGCCAACTAATATATAGAGAAAAAAATTAGCCGGGCATAGTGGCGCACGCCTGTAGTACCAGCTACTTGGGAGACTGAGGCAGAAGGAATGCTTGAGCCCAGGAGGTTGAGGTTGCTGTGAGCTAGGCTGACGCCACGGCACTCACTCTAGCCTGGGCAACAGAGTGAGACTCTGTCTCAAAACAAACAAACAAAAAAAAAAACAAACAAAGCTAATGAAGGCCAGAATCCCTTATCAGGCGATCATTTTATTGAATCCAACACTCATGGTTTCTTTTGAAAACCAGGGCAAGAGGAGAAAAAAGATCTGGGTTCAGTTAATAGCCCAGTATTAATGGCATTCATATGAATAACACTCTACAAATATTAGTATGGCACTTTGCTATTTTCAATGCATTCATTGCCTTTGATCCTCATGAACGGCCCTGTCTGGTAGGCAAGATATGCATTAATGATCTTCGTTTTACAGATGAGGAAACTGAGTCCGCAGGGATTAATGATAACAGTGACTAACATTTACTGAGTTCTAACTAGATGTGCTAGGTACTATTCTAAATTGTTTTCAGGTATTAACTCATTTAATCCTCAAAACAATCATATCAGTAGGTGCTATTATTATCCTTATTTTATAGATGAGAAAATGAGGAGCAGAGAGGCCAGGGGGTGTGCACGGGGTATCGAGCTGTCCCACAGCAGAGCTAGGGTTCAAGACTCCAGCGATCTGGCTGCAGAATCCAGCTGTCAACCACCTCCCCACAGCAGCTCCCCAGGGGCTGCACCGTCAGTAAGAGGCAGAGCCAGAACCTGAATCTAGATCTTTAACTCCAAAGCCTCACAATTCCATGCTGTTTGCAAAGATAAACCTAACACAATTAGACCTTGTGTATTGAGAAGGAAAATGTTTCACCCAGTAAGGGGGGTCGGAAGAGGAACACGCTAGACACAAAGCTCGCTGGTGAGCCCTGGCTGCTCACCTGCTGAGGGTTCTTGTTGTGGACAGAGGGGAAAAGCAGTGGGCTGGGCTGGTCCTCCTGGAGCTGGCTCGGGTGGTCCGTCCTGGAGGCCTCAGCCTTGTAGGGGCACATGAGGTGCTGAGGGGGCTGGCCGGCTTGATGCTGTCGTGCAGAAATCCGCATGTGTGGCTTGGTCGGGGGCTGGGCAGGAGGGGCTGGCTTCATATGAGGAGGTGGGCCCGCCTTTTCCAGGACGTCTCTGTGCGTTTTTCCTGAATCCTGAAGGCTCTGTGTGGTGCTACCCAGTGGGTGTCCAACCTGGAAGTAGGGATAGCGAAGTGCCTGAAATGACAAAGATGGTTTTAGGAGAAGTGTCTCATCAGGAAAGTTAATACCAGCCTGATCACTGGGCTATATTTCATGTGACCAGTTTACTATAGTTTCTTAGCCCAACCCGCCTATAAAAACAGCATCGTGAATTTGTAACACCCCTTGTGATATTCCTTAACTAAGATGGCATAAAATATATGTTCTGGCTGCAACATTTTATTTATTTGTTTATTTATTTATTTGAGACAGAGTCTCACTTTGTTGCCCAGGCTAGAGTGAGTGCCGTGGCGTCAGCCTAGCTCACAGCAACCTCAAACTCCTGGGCTCAAACAATCCTGCTGCCTCAGCCTCCTGAGTAGCTGGGACTACAGGTGTGTGCCACCATGCCCGGCTAATTTTTCCTATATATATCAGTTGGCCAATTAATTTCTTTCTATTTATAGTAGAGACGGGGTCTTGCTCTTGCTCAGGCTGGTTTCGAACTCCTGACCTCGAGCGATCTGCCCACCTTGGCCTCCCAGAGTGTTAGGATTACAGGCGTGAGCCACTGCGCCCGGCCAACACTTTAAATTACTTGGATAAAGTATCCAGTTACAATGCTGCTACCTTCCCTACTTCTGGAAAGCACTGAGGCTCAACACAGATCCTGGTTTTGTAGCTTCTGTGCTATGTGTCATAAATATTTCACCCTTCTAAACCTATTTCCTCATTATGTAGAGAGAGAAAAAGCTAATATAAAACTGAAAGAGCCAAACATGATTATGGAGGACTCTTAAGAATGAGGTACAAAATGAGCAGGCACATACATTTTTACCCCAGAAGTGCCAAGGGTGCCAATACAGGGTACAGTTAAACCTTTCCTGTGAAGAACAACTAAATCTTGTCAGTTGTTCTGGATCATCGAGTTTTCTGAATCTTAAAGTTCAGGGGTTTACAATTCTTTCTGAAAGATTCCTTGTATTCCCTTGTCTTTTTGAATTAAAGGCATTGAACATGATTTTTCTTAGTGAGTCTGGAACATGGTTACAAACATCTGTAGTGATTATATGTAAGTATAGATATAGGGGCAAATAATGTGGATACTCTAGACTCTGGCATCTAACTTGAAAGCCTTCTCTGTAGGTATTATAAGTCTCAACGGATTTGGGGGATATTTTTAACTTTTCTGATACTATTCTTAAAAGCACATATTCCTGTCTTCGTTCCATGTTACAGAATCTTTTTCTTTTCATCTCTTGCATGTTATCATTTAAAAAACTGGGTTTATCAAAATGCCTCCTCTCTGCCCTGAAACCATCTGTGACTCTCATTGCCAGAAGTGCACTTTTGGGAGCTTTCCAAACCTCTTGAGCCTTCCAGAGTTTTATGGCACTAAATCATGGCTCTTTCTTCTTTGAGCCTTTGGAAAACTGCTTTTCAAAGCTCCTTAGCTATTCCTCCAACTATCACGTCTCCAGCTATCGCAAATTCTAACATCACATTGACACTTCCTTAAGATATCCCCATCACTTTTGCTTAGCCAAATCATCTTCTCTGATTAGAACTGGTCATTTACTGGCTTCCCTGAGCAATGCAATTGTCAACGAGACAAGCTGAGAAGGGGCCAGACACAACCCATGCAAGAGGAGGCTTGCATAAGAGCCCGCAGCATCACCATGCCTCCTCCACACCTTTTCTTTCAGTGCATTTCATAATCTAATTCGAAGTGGCCTGGGGGAGGGTGGGTTGAGAAAGTAGGAGGTATGAAGTCAGCAGCCCTGACTTTACACTTCAGGTCAGTTGGTTGAATGGTAGTCGGTTTTACTATATCTACTAGTTACTGGAGGATTGATTAGGGGAAATCACTTAAGCTTTCTGAGATTCAGTTTTCTCACAGAAGTGAAAACAATAATGCCTACCTCATGGAGTCTTCATTGGGTTAAAAATCACATAAAATATACTATGGCATTTTGAAAACTGTAAAGTGCTATAAAAAGCTAATTGCAGTTATTATCCTAGCTCTGTCTCATCTGTTGACCTCTCTATGTCAGAGGTGAAATGAGTGAGTTGAACTTTACAAGTACTGGCTTAAAAACAAAATACTACATCATCTTAATTCATAGACAATATATTTGAAAACATCCTCCAAAGATAGATATATCTGTTCATTTTCATATATATATGGTGATGTATCATGAGAATTACATGCTGGTTTTTTTTTTTTTGAGACAGAGTCTCACTTTGTTGCCCAGGCTAGAGTGAGTGCCGTGGCGTCAGCCTAGCTCACAGCAACCTCAAAGTCCTGGGCTCAAGTGATCTTCCTGCCTCTGCCTCCCAAGTAGCTGGGACTACAGGCATGCGCCACCATGCCCGGCTAATTTTTTTTTGTATATATATTTTTAGTTGGTCAATTAATTTCTTTCTATTTATAGTAGAGACTGGGGTCTCGCTCTTGCTCAGGCTGGTTTTGAACTCCTGACCTCGAGCAATCCGCCCGCCTCAGCCTCCCAGAGCGCTAGGATTACAGGAGTGAGCCACCACGCCCGGCTACATGCTGATTTTTAAAGCAACTACATTACACCTTAACAACTTTAACCGTACACAGTAGGTTTCAAACTATTTTAAGTTCTTATACCTCATATAGTACACAATCAGTGGTACTGAATACTATTTCTCACCGCAATAGTCAAATAAAATATTTCCCATGCTAATGATAGAAATTATTCAAGGTTCGGTGTGAACTTCATAAGACATGCATCAAACGGAAGAAAATGGAAGAAAACCTGACTAGCTGTTGGCCGTTTCTTGGGATCCCACTGCAGCATGTCCCTCAGGAGCTGAATGGCTTCACTGCTCGCGTTGGGAATCAAGGTCTTCAAGTTATTGGGTACGCACTGGGGCCAGCGGAAGTTCATCGCACTTGACAGCTGGTAGCCTTCGGGCCAGTCGGTCTGAAAGAAGGAAATGACAGAGAATCTTGCTCAGCCAACTGCTGTGACACCAACTTGTACTCTGACATGTGTCCCCCGAATGGAACAGCAATCACCCCGCCTGCCTGCTCTGCCGTGGCACTGAGTGTGCTGGGACGCGTGGTTGTGTCAATGAAGAGACTGAGAAGGACAGGAAATCTGGAGAACAGCGGAAAAGACACTGCATTTGTCCCCAACTTGTTTTATAACCTTTGCATAAGATAGTCTATCTCCTAGGATTTGGGGATTGAACCAAATTAGAATTTCTGCAACTGTGTTCTATGAGACAGAGGTTTCGAAAACTGCTAATGAAATATTTTGGGGTGGGGAGACAAAATAAAACAAATCACCTTGTTCCTGGTCAAATAAATTTGTGAAACCCTACGTATTACTTACTATAATTCCAACTTGATTCACAACCTATGTGCTGAGAAGAGCAGAAGTAAAGAATGCTTTTCACTTGGTGTCAAGCCCTCCACTTTTTCATACTTCATATTTATGGGACATTGAATGTTGGAAAGTCCTGAACAAATGGCCAAGGTTCCTTCCAGATCTGACACTCTACTATTTTATAAGATACACCCTCATGTAACTGCTCTCCCTCCCTCACATTTTTAAAAGCCACGTGGCACTGCATATAGCTTATATCATTCATTCACTTAGATAGTTCATACTATATGCTTAGTGCTGTTGGATATCTAGAAACAACCCAATGTAAATCCTGCCCTTAGGGATGTTACTATCCTTAAAAGAGAAAACAGGACATTTATTAAAAAACACAATAATACAGAGTAAAAAGTGGCAAAGGCCACAGGAGAGGTACAGATACAGATACACAGAGAAGGGAGAGATTTCAGCAGGGAACTTGAGAAACCTTGAAGAAGTGGCATTAATGATTTGTTCCAATAATTTTTTTAAAATGTTGAGGGTCTAGTTTGTATCAGCAGTGGAGTTGGAACCTGGCAAAACAAACACAAGACAAATCCTTGCCCTGACTGAGCTTGTGGTGCAGGAAACTGATGTGTCCATGAGCAATGATATTAATAACACAGGACACAGCTGAAGATGGAGAGGACATTAGAGAAACAGTAGGAGGGAGATAATTTGGGAGAAGAAGAGCAGGATCTGGCCACGTGAGAGACATTCACTCAGATGAGGGTGTGTGTGCAGAGGGCAGAGGTGGGGAAACTCCAGGGCACACAGCTGGGAAGTGTGCGGGGACGTGGTGGGGAACAGACAGAAGAGTGGAGAGGGCTGGACAATGGGGAGAGTCGACGAATATTTTGAGGAGAGGAGGACAGTAGTACGAGAGCTGTTCTTTAGGAGGCTGAATCTGGCCACTGACTGACAGACCAGCTAGAAGGAAAAGACTCAAAGGCAGGCAGATTGCTCGAGGTCAGGAGTTCGAAACCAGCCTGAGCAAGAGTGAGACCCCCCGTCTCTACTATAAATAGAAAGAAATTAATTGGCCAACTAATATATATAGAAAAAATTAGCCGGGCATGGTGGCGCATGCCTATAGTCCCAGCTACTCAGGAGGCTGAGGCAGGAGGATTGCTTGAGTCCAGGAGTTTGAGGTTGCTGTGAGCTACGCTGATGCCACGCCACTCACTCTAGCCTAGGCAACAGAGTGAGACTCTGTCTCAAAAAAAAAAAAAAAAAAGACTCAAAGGCAGAAAGATCGAGAAGGCACCCTCAGACACAGGCATGGTGATCATGGCTGTCCGTGATGGCGGCAGTCAACTTGAATGGACAAGACAGGAGACATAATACATGAGATGTAATATAGCAACACTTAGCAGGATTTACTGACCAACTGCTTGATAAAGGGAAGGGGAGTAAAGGAAGGAGAGAAGGAAAGCTGAAACTCAGCCTCCAGGCTGGGGCTCTGGGGTGAGGACGGGACCACACGCAGAAATGGGAAAGGAGAGAAGGGGACTGGCGGGTGGCAAACAAAGAGCCATCTGTTTCAGACATGTCGAGCTCGAGGTGATGGTGCCAGAATGTGGAGTTACAAAGGAGGGAGGCTAAGGCTACAGATTACACCGAGGAGACTTCTGAACAGCACTGTAGCCATGGAAATAGAGAAGCTCCACACGGGAGGCGAGATGATGCAGAGCAAAGCACAGGGAGCTGTGACAGATTTCACAAGAGTAGGAGGAGGAAGAGAAGCTGGCCATGCCCGAGCACGCGGGCAGTGGAGAATGACTGAGGTCAAGAGGAAGGTTCTAGAATGGGCCGGTGCTCCTTGGTGCCAGTGCCGCGGATGGCTGGAGGAGAAGGGACGTGGGAAGCCACTGGCTCTGGCCCACAGGCCTTTGTTCCCTATCGTTACCTTTTTTGGTGTCCCCAACACTTGGCAAATTTTGAATATCGTGTCAATTTCGCTGGCCCCAGGGAAGAGCGGCCTGAGGGTGTAGACTTCTGCCATGATGCAGCCCACGGCCCAGACGTCGATGGGGGAGCTGTAGGTGGTAGACCTCAGGAGCACTTCTGGAGCCCTGTACCTGGGGGGACAGAAGTTAGCCGCTCGCTTCCACTGGTCAGAAATCAAATTGCATAACAATTCTTGATAAGAAAGTTTTATCTCTCTCTCTGTTTTCTCTCTAGATCACTGCGGTACATGGGCTTGTGAGGACTTGGCAACTGCCATGGCTACTGCTGGAAAGGAGTGCTTCTCTCCTGCACGCACGGTATTTTCTGCTGGAGTGTTCTCTACAGCACCTCCGAGAAGTACAAAGAGAGTGGGAATTAGGGAGAGGGACAGGGAGAAGGAAAGAGAAAGAGAGAGAGAGAAACTTGGGTGTAGTCTACTTCTTGGTCATGGCGAACTGCTCAAATCAAATTCCTAGGGTCTGAAAGTTTTAACAATAGCGATTAGATGATTTTCAGACAGATCTTTTCGAGAAAAACCTTTTTACATAACACTTTTAGGAAACTGTCCTCAGAAAGGCCTACATATAAAATCTTACTGATATCATGAGAAAGCACAACAGGATTCCTTTCAACGCTATTTATAACACAAGCTTTTAACCTCGTACAATGCCAACACACCTACAAATATGTGTTGCAGATTACAGTGTTTCTCTGAGCGAAAAGTAAATGTGACTTTAATATTATCCTTGGTCTAATGGTATCTTTTTGAAGAAGTGCAATTAAGGAATTTTGTGAAAAACAGTATTTACCATCTGGTAGATACATAGTCTGTGTATGGAGGTCTTGATCGGATTTCTCGGGCCAATCCAAAGTCTGCAATTTTCACAAGTTCTGGTCCCATACAGAGGAGGTTCTCAGGCTTTAAGTCCCGATGGAAGAAGCCTGCAGAAACAGTAGAGAGGAAGGAATCCAGATGCAAGTTTGTTTCTGCATTACTCTTTGCAGCTGCACTGCTCTTTTCATAACAGCCATGGCACCAAAGACTCTACACATTCATCCCATGGATAGCATAGAGTCCTTTGAACTTCTCTCAGGACTTCATTCATTTCACTTTGCAAAATCATTCAAAAGTTGACCTTTGTAAATTTTTTTATAAGAGAGAAAACTTCTTTGAAAATATCAAAACTTGGCTATGGCCTGAGATAACTTGCAAAAAGAAGCTGTCACTCAACGGAAAAACATCATTCCTGCTCTGCCCAGGTCAGCAAGAAAGAATTTGAGATTAAAACCATTTCAAAAGGCAATAGTCTTATAGGAATTGAGAGTTTATAGCACAGCAGAAACACAATTATCATTTTTATTTAAAGAAACAAAGGATTTATGAATCTGACCTCCTGTCTGAGATTCTGGTGTGTTGCAACGTATGTTTAAATGTTAAGTGCTTATTACTTTGCCTAATGAAGAAGCACAGAGGAACGTCTGCAGCTCACATCGTGAGAGGCAAGGATAACTCATCACAGAGGAAGCCTGTCGCAGCCACAGCAGAGCTCTGGAGGGGCAGGCAGGAAACGACCAACACGGCAATCTTCCAAGTACAAACACCCAGTGATCGGCAATTACATGCCTCTGAAAACCCCAAACCTCCATTTACTGAGGGTGTCACCAATATGGACATCATTCAGTGTGACTTTAAATCTCAATAGGACACCAAACTGGAAATACAACTCAGCTGATGCTGCTGGTGCTGTCATTCATGTGCTGTCATTACAGGTTGAGCATCCCTAATTTGGAAATCTGAAATCAGAAATGCTCCAAAACCTGAAACTTTTTTAGCACTGACATGACACTCAGAGTAAATGCTTAGTGGTGCATTTTGGATTCTGGATTTTCAGATCAGTGCAGCTCAACTGGTACAGTGGAAAGCAAATATTCCAAAATCTGAAAAAAAAATGCAAAATCTGAAATACCTCTGGACCCAAACATTTCAGATAAGAGATACTCAACCAGTATCAGTGCCGTGGAAGCTGGATTCTAACCAGCTAGCACATTATGGGAGAAATTAACAGCCATCACTGAAGATCTACACCAGTCCTTGATGACCTGTGTGTGACAGGCTCGAGTCCACATCTCTAACGTGCCTTCTCCACCCTTCTAGAGACTTCGGTCTCTAATTGGATAGCAATTGGATGCCACTATCATCCCAGCATGAACTTATCCAAAACCACTCTTCTCCTCTCCCAGATCATCTCTCCTTCCTTTGATAAAATTGCTAGGCCATTTGTAGCTATGTTGGAGCCACCCTTCCCCAGAGAGTCATGGGACTGTGTCACATTTTCCATCGAAATATCTGCCTCTTTCTACCCTTTGTCACTGCCCCTCCCAAACCCTTGCTCTCACTGCCTCTGCCTGCGATGGCACTCTCCTCAGCCTCCCACACTTCTCTGGACTCCCACCCCTCCTGACGATTCACACACTTTCTTTCCCCTGTCACTCTCCCGGCCACACAGGAAACGTTCCATGGCTCCTTTTTAAATGATTTAACAAGGCTGAACTCCTTTCATCACCTAAAGAGAACCTCTTTCCAACTAACCATTAATATGTCTAAAGTGTGTTCTAATCCAGTGGAATCGCTCATTCCCTTTAAGTTCACGTATAGATGGGCCTGCACATGTGATCTGAAGTTGCCATAAAGGACCACATACATGACGTTGGTCCATAAGATCATAATGGAACTCAAAAATTCCTATTGTCTGATATTTACTACATTATACTTTTTTTTTTTTGAGACAGATCTCACTTTTTGCCCAGCTAGAGTGAGTCTGTGCGTCAGCCTAGCAACCTCAAACTCCTGCTCAAGCAATCCTACGCCTCAGCCCCTGAGTAACTGGACTACAGCATGCGCCACATGCCGGCATATTTTTTAATATTATTAGTTGGCCAATTAAATTTCTTCTATTTATAGTAGAGACGGGGTCTCGCTCTGCACAGGCTGGTCGACTCTGACCTCGAGCAAATCTGCTCGCGTCGCTCCAGATACTAGGATTACAGGCATGAGCCACCTCGCCTGGCCTTACATTATACGTTTTATTGTGACTTTAGAGTGTATTTCTTCTACTTATTAAAAAAAAATAGTTAACTGTAGAACAGCCTCAGGCAGGCCTTCAGGAGTATCCAGAAGAAGCACTGTCTCATAGGAGAAGACAGCTCCCATTCTGTACTGCCCTGAAACCTGACTGGGACAAATTAAGTGGAAAACAGTGATACTTTATGCCTCCTGTGTAGCCTAGGGATATTCGTGTTTTCTTTTTCGACAAAAAAAAAAGCTTAAAAACACAACACAACAACAACACAAAAAGAAAGAAGCAAAAAAAATAAATAAAAAACTTATAGATAAGAGAATAAAAAAAATATTTGTAACTCCATACAAGGTGTTCATGTTTTAAGTTAAGCATTACTACAGCGGCGCCTGGCTCACGCTGTCAAATCCTACACTCTGGAGGCTGAGCGGTGATTGTCAGGTCAGGAGTTCGAAACCACCGAGAATGACGAGGCCATCTCAAATAGAAAATAATTGCCAACTAATAATATAAAAAAAATAGCCAGGCATGGGCGCGTGCCTGTATCTCCCAGCTACTCGGAGCTAGCAGAGATTACTTAGCCCAGATTGATGCTGTGAGCTAGGCTGACACACCACACACTCACTCTAGCTGGCAACAAAGCGAGACTCTGTCTCAAAGAAAAAAAAAGCATTACTACAAAAGAGTCAACAATTTAAAAGCTTATAAAGTAAAAAGGTTATAGTAAGCTAAGGTTAATTTATTACTGAAGAAAGAAATTTTTTTATTTAGTGTAGCCTCAGTGTACAGTATTTATGAAGTCCTCAATAGTGCACAGTAATATCCTAGGCCTTCACATTCACTCACCACTCACTCACTGACTCACCCAGAGCAACTTCCAGTCCTGCAAGATCCATTCATGGTAAGTGCCCTAAACTGATATACCATTTTTTATCTCTTATACCTTATTTTTAATGTATCTTTTCTTCATTTAGATACATTTAGATACACAAATACTTTCCATTGTTGCAACTACCTACAGTATTCAGGACAGTAATGTGCTGTACAGGTTTGTAGCCTAGAAGCAATAGCTATATGCTGTAGCCCAGGTGTGTAATAGGCTATACTATCTAGGTTTGTGTAAGTACACTCTATGATGTTTGCACAACAAAATCGCCTAATGATGTATTTCTCAGAATGAATCCCTGTTAAGTGATGCATGACTGTTATTTATTAGTAATGTGTCCATTGCCATCCTTCAAGACCTGTTTTGAGTTTCCCTTCCTCCAGGAAGCCATCCTAATATGCTAGCTTCATTCATTCATTCACGCTACCAGCAAATATTTACTGAGGGTCCACTCCTTGCCAGGCAATAAGTTAGGTTTTGTGGATTCAGAAGCAACCCAAATGGACATGGTTCCTGCCCTCATGGACATAACAGGCCCTCCCCCTCCACTCTGAATTCAAGTAGAGCTCTATCATTTTTAGGAATGTTATCAATTTTCACTTATTAGATGGGAGCACTTGGAGGGTAGAGGCCACATTTATATTCTTCTGAACACCTAGCACAACACCAGGAGCATGGTGGTCCCATAATACAATCTTGTTGATTGGACAAAAGACTTATGTAGGTTTCTAGGGAACATGAAGCTTAACGGTGACAAATCTACCGGGGCCAGGTAAGCAGGGTCAACAGAGAGCCGACCAGAGCTGTGGGAAGAGTGGAGGGAGGAAGCCCCGTGAGACAGCAACTGAGAACTGAAAAAGAGCAATAGCCCTGAAGTAGTGTGGGGGACAATGAGGACTCAGAGCTGGATGTCCTTGTCACAGAGAGAGCTGTGTTGGTGCAATGAATGCATAAAGGCAGGAACTCCAGCAAGGCCCTCAGTAAATATCTGTTGGTAGAAGGAATGAATGAACAAAGGCAGGGACTCCGGGGTTATTTCCCAAAGACTGTCTCTGTTCTACAAGAAGGGGAGAATGATTGTGGTGTGATTATATGTGACAATGCACTAAATGCCATGTAGCATGGAAAGCAACAATGTTGTAATAAAAGGACATTACTTTCTGTTCATCACTCTGAGGACAACAGGACTTAATACTGGGTCAAGTTCCAAACGGATAGTGTTTATGGCATAATGATGGATGTGCAAGGTAAATGGCTGGTGTACATGGACATAGTGAACATAATTTCAGGGCCTACAACCCAGTGCACACAGAAGGGGATGAAAGCACAGAAGTGATTAAATACATTCAAGAGGACCACAGATGAGAGGAGGAGGTACTTCCTGCCCACCACAGGGCTGCTTCTGTTTTCCATAATCCAAAGCATTGAAGAGATCAAAGGATTTAAAACTGGGTTAGACCAGAGACAGGCACAGCAAATGTGCCATTTTTACAGCATATGTATATATGCATATGTTTGCATGTGTTTCCATGTATATTGTGAAATATATATATGTATATATATATATATATTCCATTGCTTCGTTCTTTATCCTGCCATTTTACTGTAATATACCTAATGACCTTCCTCATTCTGAGTATCCTAGTCAAATTAATAATAAATTAACCGAAATTATAATCAGACTCAAACCTGAGGTTGTCGACTCAAAAAATGCAAAAAGTAATTCAACATTAGTCGAGAATAGCCTTTTTTTAAATTTAATTATATTTAATTTTTCTCTCTCTCTTTTTTTAAAGATATCTCTATTGTACACAGAGAGAATAGCCTTTAAAATGAAAAAAAAAAGAATTTCTGATATGGACAAATTGAGACAGCTTATTAAATGAAGATTATCCACATCCACTGGAGTGGGCAATATCTGATCTAAGACTTGGTATAACTGAGTCATTTTTGGACCCTCTGTTCTTCAGAGTACCATC